GATGATTGCCATCTGGACTGAATGAGGTCAAAATAGTTCAGTGCAGTTTTTTTTCCCCCCCAACCTGGGCAGCTTTAAGAGATGTGTGGACTGCAACACCCAGAATTCCTCAGCCAGCCCTTGGCAACCTTTATGAAGCTTGGACTTCAACTCCCAGAATTCCTCAGTCAGAATGGCTGGGAGTTGAAGTCCACTCCGCTGAAAGCCGCCAAGGTTGAAAAAAATATATATACAGTTTTAAGAGGACATTAATCCTAAGGGAGGCCTCTGATCCAAAACGGTGATGTCATAAAAAGCAAGGGAAGACCACAGATGGTCCTCCTCTGTCCATAACCAAGGAGGGTCAGGATGAAACCAAAGAAGAAGACCTAGTAAGAATATCCTTCGGGGATGGTTTCATTTTCGGTTTGCTTCACGCTTCTTGGTCTCCCCTAATATGTCCAGATTCCAGACTGGATGCTAACAATCATCAGGAGGCATCCAGGTTAGAAGAAAGAGGGCGGTGGGAAGAAGAGTTGAATTTCTCTCTTCAGAAAAGGCTAGAAGTTCATCGTCACAGATTTCTTATTAATAGACCAGTGGGCAGGGGTGGGCTCAGGGGTGGGATACGACATGGTTAACTATCGGTTCGGTGATTTACGAGGTTCGGTGATTTATGATGTGTCTTCCCTGCGAATCCCTGTAATTTCCCTGTAAATCGTCATCAGCACGCTGCACGCAGAGAAGCAGCCTTTAAAACAGCCCTCTTTTCCTGCTTTTTTAACTGCAGCTGTGCCTCGTTCAGCCGCTGAAGTTGAAAAAACAGGAAATAAAGGTCAGGTAAGAGCCCAGGTGGGCGGGTGGGCAAAAACATCAGCAGACATCAGAGCTACAGGTTCTACAGAGGTGGACAGAACTGGTAGAAACCCCCCCCCCCTTTTAGCAAGGGGCTCTCTGCCCTAATGACTGGCTGGGTGGGCGTGGCTGGGTGGTCATGTGACTGGGTGGGTGTGGCCAACTCAACGTCACTCCTTTGCCCTAATTGCCTAAAAAAAGATAATATATCAAAAAGCTGTTTATTATTTCGTGCATTTAATACTTAAATAAAAGACTGGTGAAACCAGGCTTACTAGCAGTGACTGTAAGAGAGATCTTGGAGTCTTAGTGGAGTTTCTGGTGAGTTACGTGATTCTTATTATTTGGGAATTAATCCCCTTGGAGGCTAGTGGCTATGTGATCTGATTTTTCCCAAGCGCTGAGTGGATTGTTTATCTAGTTTGCCATACTTTTACGAGGTGTGAAATGCTCTTGGCTGAATGCCCAGAAGTTCAATTAAGCTTATATATATTTGGCTCAGATTTGTGCAAATCACCCTGAAATGTAATAAATAACAATAGCACTTAGACTTATATACTGCTTTATAGTGCTTTAGTGCTGATAGATAGATAGATAGATAGATAGATAGATAGATAGATGATAGATAGATAGATAGATAGATAGATAGATAGATAGACAGATAGACATAGATGGATGGAGAGAGAGAGAGAGAGAGACGGACAGATGGATAGACAGACAGACAGACAGACAGACAGACAGACAGACAGACAGACAGACAGACAGATAGATAGACAGACATAGATGGATAGACAGACATAGATGGATAGATAGATAGATAGATAGATAGATAGATAGATAGACAGACAGACAGACAGACATAGATGGATGGATGGAGAGAGAGAGAGAGACAGATGGATAGACAGACAGACAGACAGACA